CTTAATACACTTACCTAAAAAAGCACTGTTAAAGATAAGTTGGTTTATGAGAAGTGGTCGAAAAAGAGATCGGATCAGGACCACCTTCAGTAGCGTTCGTCCTTCGACCAATGTATCCAATTTCATTAAATATCCCAAGAATTGCGGCTTGTGGATAGAACACAAAAAAAACGATATAGGAACGGACAGACAGACAAGCGTATATTTGAATCGATCGGTTTAATAAAAGGTATCTGAAGTCATTCTGGCTTTGTGCCTATTTTGTGATGTTACTTTGATAAACAAACAAAAACTGCTTCAATAAGAACTCAGCATGCCCTTGCATGCCTTCTGATGTAGAGGCAGTTTTCCGAATTTGCCATTAAGCTACCCTTGGCCTTTGTTATTCATTCTGATATTGATAAAAAAATGTTTCGTTACCCGTGAAACCGTAACATCACAAATTCACTCATCATATATAGAGACGTTATTAAAAGTAATTTATTTTTTTATTTATTTATGTAATCTGCAACTTTTCATACTAAGTAAATAAAACAATCATTAATCTTCTTTAGTAAAAATTGTATTTTTTTTTTTTTAAATAAGTGTTGACCTCACTACATTAGCGAGGAAAACATAAAAGGAATAAAACGCAAAATGGCAGAGAAGAAGACGAAAAGTGGAAGCAATGAAAACAAAAACACTTGAAAATTGTTAGCTAATTTTATATTTGATTGCCAGCCTTCCTGTTTGCCACAGCAACACTATACATAGTGGTTTAATACTATTAAAAAGCATTTGTTCACGCCGCACTTGACCAATAAGCAAGATATTGTGAGAATTTTCTCACAACTTTATAGTGACAAAAGATGAACCCCGCAAACAAACAGCTTTCAGTTTATCATCTGTAATACACATCTGGTTACGAATCCAGATGGCAGTATTATTTTGAGAAAGCATACCATGATAACAATAACGGATTGTGGACGGATAATGAAGGTTAATTCGCAAATATCGTCGATAAGGGTCAGACGACAAATATTTTGAGGACGCTTGCTTAAGGTTAACCAATTGCCTACGCAATTACAATTTCCATCATAAAAAACTACAAATTAGACTTTCTCTCCTTATAATGGCTCGCTTTTTGTGATAAACCCTAGATATATTGGGATCTAATGAACATGCCTACGTAATCCAAATTTTTTTGCTCAATCGTTGCGATGAACTAATTGACATCATACACTATTAAAATTATATCTTAAAAATAGAACTTTTTTCTGAAGCAGTTACTAGTGATGAAAAATCTTATATGCAGCGGGGTCCAAGCAATAGGTCCATATGGTTCAGAATTTGCCTACCTAATTTTTATGCGAAATTACTATCACGAACAAGTTTTCATCATAAGACATTAACAATTAGACGTTTTGGTATATAACGGGTTACATGTTCTAAGAATATATACGGTGATATTTTAAAAGAACACCTACGTGGTCCAAATTTGGTAAAGTTGATCTCTTTGTCAATTCACTATCACGAACTAATTTTCACCAATTGACAATTCTCCATTCTTACCATATAAAGATTCATTTTTCGTAGGAATGGTTCAAGAAATGGCCTAAGCCGAGCGATATTTTTGATACCAATTTAGAATATCAAAGTATTATTACTCAGCGGATTTCCTCGAAAAGTTTTGAATACTGCAATTCAAGTGCTCAAAAAAATAGGTCGATCCGAAACATTTTCAATAGCGTTCATCTTTGAGTTAAAGCATGTCGGTTTACCAAATTTCATCAAAATATGTCAAAAATTTCGAATCGACTTTACATGAACAGACATCAGACGGTCGGACTTAGATCGGTGTAATAAAAGATTGGTTTATCTTAAGCCCTTTTCTGAGTTTTACATACATCCGTACAGACTTAATATATCCCGTACCACAAGCAGGATATAAAAATTAGTGGAAGCTCTTCGCTTCTAAGACAAGATGAACGATATACAAAAGGCGGGTAACAAATTTTATCGAGTCGGTTAAATAAAATTGGACAGTACATATTCAGGACGCATTGACTAAATCCTTCAAAAATTGGTACAAATTCTCCTTTTTTTACGAAAGCCTACAATTTGTTTTATCCTAAAAAGTATTTCCTGGAATGTAGCTATGCGTGACAACAGCTGCATATAAATCTTGTCATCTTATTGCATTATAAGCAAACTATGTAAACTTAGGCTTAACTATCGACTGCTTTTCTGCAAATAAATCTTCTTCTTCTATAAAAGTTTGCCTATAACACATTTTTCTGAAAATGTGTTGAGAAAGCGCTTTATGTGTGCTAGTTAAAGCATAAATGTGTGCTGGGCTATTACAGTTTACAAAAAAATGCGGTTAAAGTGTTTCTAACTAATGTTTGCTTTGCGTTTTATTTGTTTGTGCCATCCTTCTAATTTTGTTGAAGAAAATTTTAACACTGAAATTTTTTAATGAAAAAACTTATTAGAGGAGTTAAGTTTTTGTGTTTTGTTTATTTTCTGGACAATTATTACATTTGAAGTCTATTTTGTTATTATCTGCGGTATTTAAGTCAACGTTAAACGAAAATAAGGTTTAAAACTTAATTCGAGTCCAAAAAATGAAAGAACACCAAGGTGGACCGCGGCGAACTTTACAACACTTCGCTTAATGCTATTATTCATATAATGACTTTTTAAAACAGCGCGTCATATGGAAAGTGATCGAAAGAGCGATCGAGCATTCGTCTTTGGACCATAATTTCATCAAAATTTCTTAAACATTGTAACCTGCAGATTGAAAACAGGAATGGAACATACACAGGCGGATAGACGCACAGACAAACTTATGTAGGCCTATCCCAAGTCCTTCTGGGTTGAATATATCAGCACATACTGAATATACTCTTGTATAGCGAGCGATACAGGGTTGTAATAAAATAAAAAAAGAGACGCAGACATCATACTTAAATCCAGGAGTCGCCAACTTTTTTCTTCAACGGGCCAGTATTTATATCACAGGAGTAGTCGGAGCAGATTGAATTGATTAACAAACAGATCAAAATTGTGACAAGCGGGTCTCTCCCGCTTGATTTACCCTTGCAAACGTTTAGCGAAATAGTCGACGACTTAACAGACTCTTTGAATGTGGCTTCAGTCAGCTTCTGCTACTATACATCCTTGGTACTCATGGCTTAATATGTGTTCAAGGCAAATGCGAATTAAATTAAAAATGAAAAAACTGCAATAAACTAAAATATTACACGTGTGTCTAGAACCCTTCTAAGATTAATTCTTTAATCCCACCACTGACTGAAATCCAGCAGAGGTAATTCTAAATGTGTTCCGGCCTGAGCTAATCAAGTCATCAAATGCGTAAACTAATAGCCTTTTAAAGAGAGGTCTTATTAGGTCATGTAGTTCGGTAGTTCCTCTCCCGCTCGACTTAACCATTCCTTTTGCCACTTGTGTAAGTGCAACAATCGTGAGGCCAGTTCTCTTATTCGACTACATTCAAACTATAACAAATTAGATGTTGTTTTAAATGAAAATGCCTTTTCAAATGAAAAAGAAATAATTATTTCGCTGTAAGCACGACAAACGAGAAAATAAATTGAATGAAAGAAAATTACATTTCCTAATGTGATGCATTCATAATAAACGTCTAAGAGAATTTTATAAAAGGCTTATGTTCCTCATTTCATTGACAAATTTCTTCTCGTTTCACTGCTTAATTTATAGAAAATGATTGATGGCAGCGAAAGCGATAGTGAGACTCTTAAACGCTTTCAAATTATATGAAAGTCCTTTTTTCATTTCTATTAATCTTTTTCAAGTTATTACAAACACTTTGCCCTCTTTGATGCTATTTTTTATGAACGTAAGTCTTAAACTGTCTATTGGAAGCATGTTGTCTTTTAGCTAAAAAATTTTAATTCAATTTCCGCGCAAATAATTTCTACCATTGCTCGAATAATGCTATCCAGATAGCGTAACCGTTTCCGCAAATTTTCTGCCGAAGCTGTCGCTATACACAGAGCGTTAACTAAAGCAATTCGTAATACAAGAAACAAGCTTTTAATATGCACAGCGTAATACTACCTAACATTAACTCTATAAAAAACGTCAGATGTAATGATTTATACGCTCCTTGTATTAGGAATATTCAATCTTCAAAAAGTTCTAACACCCTTGGAATATGTTTTCCTAGCCATGTTAATATTTCCAGAGAAATTAACTAAAGTGGTATGAAAAATTTAGGTATCGCTTGTCTTTCCAGGTGCTTTTTACTAAACGGCTGAAAACAATCGCGAAGGCTAAGCTTCAGCTAAGTGATAAAACGGTGTAAAACATTTCGTTACAGTTATACCTGGCGGGTAGTCATCATGTAACTGAAAGCTAGTTTTCGGCTTTATATTCAACAATTTTTGACAAGAGCAAAAGCTAAATTGTTCAGACGTGATTATCCCATAGATCTTTGGGCGGTTTTTATTTATGCGATTGGTTTCACGCGCCTTATATCGTTTGTGCATTTGTGTATGTCGAATATCCCAAATGTTTTGCTTCTATATTGGCTCAATTTTTACATCATAAACGTTACTAGTGTTTCAGCTGCGCTTGTTTTTGCGGTACAAAAAATGTTTTTCCGATAATGCGCTTGAGTAACTGTTTCAACTTTTATAAAATTAGCGACTAATGATAGAAACTAGAAATCGGTTACAACTTTTTCTTTAGTCGATTCAAAAGTCAATTATATACCTCGCGGTATTACGTTATAAAAATGTATCCAATCCTTCGGTGGATTGAACGGTTCTCGTATATTCGCATTAGATCATGGACGCTGCATGAGTTATAACAGAAAATTGAGGAATGGCAATCAGAAATTTCGATCGCCCTTGTGGCCCGCTACCCTATTTAAAATGTCAAATATCTGAAAATAATTTTATAGTGCACAATAAAGCACAATGTAAATAACAAAACTGAACACGAATTCCATTTTTCTTTTCTCTTTTTAGTTTCTTACTTTCAAAGATGGCCAAGTCGGCGTAAACTTTTTGGGCTACCATGCTCAAGCTGGTTTGGGCGGCGGTCAGAATCAAAATGGTCTATTAGGTGGCTTACACGCTTCTGCCGGTACACCGTGGGGCCAAAATGCTGCTGCGGGACTTGGAGGCAACGTAAATGGTGGGAAATAAAATATTCTAAAATAGAAAAGATCCATTCATTTATTGAGACCTTATTTAAAGGGACCCAACTAAAGTTCTCTATACAATTAATTGAAAAACGAAAAATTCGAAACCTTCGTCCGCAATTGTGGCTTGCATTTCATAAGTAATATCGAGTATTTTTTTAGGTTTTTACTCTCGCTGACAAATAGTTCAAAACAATTCTAATTCTAGACATGACCAAAGAAACCGATCGAAAAAAATCTTACATTAGAGAAAAGTTAAGGTCCCAACAAGCTTCCTTTATAAAATAATAAATTGAAATCAGGAGAATATTTACAGCTGTAAAAAAGAATTAACAATTAGCACGTCTTGTCACCAACGTGACTGTTGCTTATGGGAGGTCACCTAAGGAAATTACAGAGGTAGTTCGTTAAGTCAAAATAGACCTGCATACTATATTCTCGGACAAGAGATGTCAAAAAGGAAATTTCCGGACATATATGGCACGTCTTGCTACCAACACGACTGTTGCCTATTTGAGGCCACCTAAGGAAATTACAGAGGTAGTTCGTTAAGTCAAAATAGACCTGCATACTATATTCTCGGCCAAGAGATGTCAAAATAGAAATTATATTTTCGGACATATAAGGCTTTCCAAAATTTTTTATATTCGCGTGGCGACAACGTACGAGTGCAGTTACCCTAGACGATTGTATTTGTTCTGAACCATGTTTCAAACGTGGAATACGTGTAGTTTATTGCTCTCTGAACTGTTTTCCCGGAAATTGCAAAAATTTTAAAAGTTTTAATACAATTTACCTAATTGTTGTGGCTTGTCTTGGAAAATATAATGAGGAAAAGAAATCTAACCTTATAAACGAAATAATGAATTTTTGAAATTTCTCAATAACGCCGATAGGCTTAGATAGCTAGTGCTTGAAGACTTTAATCTTAGAATTTACTTTTCAGCCTAAATTAATAATAATAATAATAATAACAATATTTACTCTTGTATGATTTTGTTATTGATTGTATTATTGTAAAAAAGCAAACGTCAAATGGTCCCCTTATTTTTCCATTATTTTTTTGAAATAAATTTCGAATGATGACAGCCATACGCAAATCTCACGAAAAAGGTTCTCAAGGTATATCTTTCGAGAACTGGTTAACTAACAGATGCACGATTAATTCCCAGCGTCACTAAAGCGACTGCACCTTATAAAGCAATCGTTGGAATGTCATAAAATTGTGACACTATCTAAAACTTCTATATATCATCCTACGAACTTATTGACGTCACGTTAAACATTTAGAGAATTTCATTATTTTTGTTTAAAAAAAAAGGAGAAAATCTGAACGTGAAGAAGTTTTATACGTTCATTCTAGTTGATGTAATTAATGGAAAAAATTTTGGTTTTTTTTCTTGTGTTTGTCTCATTATTCATTTTTTTTTTTTTTTTTTTTTTTTTTTTTTTTGATAATAAATCTCATTAATCATCGGATGAGAATAAAGAGTTTTTATAAAATACCTTTTTTTTTTTAATACATTTCAGGACGTGCTAGTGGTCTTTTGTATGCTGGCGCGCAATCATCACCTGATGTTGGTGCCAGCACGGTATTAGCTGGCGATACATCAATGGGTGGCTTTGGCGGTTCGGAAGCGCATGCCAATGGTCTAGTAGCAGGAAGTAGCCGCAGTGTTTCGTTTAATGGCAATCCACAAAATGTGCAGCAACCGCCTGCAATGGCAAACGATGATGCAAACGCTATACAAAGAATACGTCCACCAAAAAAATATCAAACGCAATTCACGGTAAATGAATCAATCAACTCAAAACAAGTAAAAAAAAAGTAAAGTGAATCACGACCCGCCATTAAATATTCTACACCATCCTGCACTTATTCATGTAATGACTTTTTAAAATAAAACGTTATGTGGGAAGTGGTCGAGAAAGTTTTCCGATCCCAAACATTTTCAATAGCCTTGATCCTTCGGCCAAAGCATCTCGTTTCATCAAAATATTTCTAAAACTGCGGGACGGGCGGACAGACAGCCAGGCAAGCTCAGATAAATGCAAAAAATGATTCTGAATAAATCGGTATAAAGAACAGAGCGTATCTATCTTCAAGTCCTTCCGGGTGTTACATGCTTCCACTTAAATATAATATACTTTTGTACAACAAGTGGTGTAGGATATTAAAAGAAACAAATTTCTTTTATGTTATCAAAAATATATAAAGAAATACTTCCGTTTTTGCGTTGTTTGCGAGAGAAAAAATTTTTAAGGAAAACTTATGAATTTCATTAATTTTTTTTATTATTATTATCGTGATTGCCCTGACATGCCACAACTATTATCATTACCATCGTCGCTTAATACATTATCATCGTTAATATTAAATAAGCCGCAAAACATATTTATTGATTATCGTGAGCAACTACAACAACAACAACAAGAACAAGGACAAGAACAACGACCATTAGCAACCATAGACATGACCGCAAAAGCGACTACAATAACAATAACAACATCATCGCCATTAACATCAGCCATTAGCACAGAAGATACTCAAAACATACAATTCAACAACGACGCATATGTGAGTCAAAAACCTCATACTTTCATAAAACCAATTAATAATCCGTCTCAACGTATTGATGACAAGCAAAATGCTTCTGTTGCTTTACAGCGGCCGACAATCAGCAGAAACGTCCCGATCGGTGACACGCAAAGGACCCAAATACAAAGTTTCAATGACTCGAGTTACGTAACAAAACAACGTAATAAATATCGTTATAGGCAACGTCATCCTAAACGCAACGAACAACGGCGAAGAGCTTATCAAAACGGTGTCAAAACCGGCAAAACAATACGCTCAAAAAGCGTGTATAGAACAGTAGAAGCAACACAGAACACATGGCCCTTGGCTGTGCATGCACAGCAACAACAGGTAGACTGGAAAATTTTAAAAACATAAGCAAGTCCTCAAGGCTTTTTGAATGTTTTTTTTTTTTTTTTTTTTTTTTTTTTTTTAGGAAATTCTTTATGCTTGCGAATAAGGTAGCGTATCACCTTGGAACTTGTATTCACAACATCGCAGTTTATTTGCAAAAAGCCTAAAATTCCGTCGTTTTATTTATTAATTTACATTGAGTTAATATTTTAATCAAAAATAATTGGCTTTCATTGCTTTGACTTACATTACCCCCAGCTTCCGTTTGCAATTATAATTGTATTAATTTATTGCTAATAATTTAATCCCACCAAAGAACGAACGTCTAAAGCATATTTCAAATTTGAGATATCCGATTAAATCTTGCTTAATATCACTGCCAAATTTGATTTATGTTATTTATCCAATTTTTTTGCTTACTTGTAAGGATGCCAAACAAATAAATCCGATTCGCCGCTTGTTTATTTATTATTGCAATTTAACGCTTAATTTAATTTTCTTGGTTTACATACATACATTAGTTTGCAAAAATTTTAACTAATAAATAAATGATATATTTAAGTGAAGAAAGTAGTTTGAAGTAAAACCTTATCCTAGTGTTACAAAAAGGAGTTTGAAGTATAACCTAATTCTAATCCTAATCCTAACACACGATGAAGATCCCCTGTTATATAAAAAAAAAAGAAAAGAAAAAACCAAGAGTAGAGGGTGGAATAAATCGGTTTGCAAGGTTGGAGCGGTTGGCGAAGCACAACTACCTTCCAATCCTAGCAAACACAGAGCAGCAACTTACTTGGAGTCGATCCAAGGTTTCCCATCATTTGTGCCAGTTCCCTCGTGTCGTACATGGAAAGTCTGCTCATTGCATTTTATTTTTTAATTCCTATGATTACGTAACTCTAGGAGTTTTTGTGCATCCACTTCTGTGCAAATCGCTCAAAACTGCCTTTCGAGCAATGTTCAGTTTCGCAGCTAAGTAATATCTTCCATAACTTTTTGAAAAATTTTAATCCACTTTATCAGCTATTGGGACCATCAGAGGGCGAAGAGAAATTTTCAGAACGGAAACGAACAAATCATTTACCAACTGACGATTTTGATGCAGCGTCTTCACTATAAACCCCAAAAAACTTTTCACAAGTCTACGAAGCAGCGCCCGTCATGATCAAAGTGATATTATAAAATGTAACGAATTTTTTCAGTATTTTGGGTCATTTCGAAAACGCAATGAGTTGACTCTGCTCTTTAATTTTTCACATCTGGTTCACATAAGGCATGGCTTGGTAGGATCAGTATTGCTTAAGTTAGGCCAGATTCTAATCATTTATCTTCTTTTCAATAAATAACATTATGCACATATATACCGTATGTGTTTTTCAAGTGTAGCCATCTTAATGAACGGAATACGAATATTTTTCAACTGAACTTTAAAATGACTCCACAATGAGGATGTGTGCCAAAAATTTTACACAAACATTCACTATGCAAATTATCGACAAAAAATTTTTGGCTTATTTTGCTTTAATTTTGTAGGTGTGATTGTGGTCCTAGCATAAGAATGCTTAGGCAAGCTAAGAAACTTATCTTCGAAGGTTTTTCGAAACTAAGCGCATAAGAAATTTTTGACACGTATTTCTCTTAAAGCTTTTGAAAAAGTTCATTAGAATCTAGAGTCCAGAGTTGCACACATTTGCTTCAAAGCAGAGATTAATAAAATCATTCTCAATGATTTCCTCAATAATTGCGAACTTTGAAAAGGCATCAGCATCGGCGTAGAAAGAACTATCGGTTTTTAATACCTATGAGCAAAAGATGCTCTTACATACACACCTCATACCTTGAATTTGTAAATGGTTTAGCAGCAATCCTGTCCCTTAAAAGAAATTTTATTTTCTTTGTTCGCGTAATATAAATAAATGTTAATTAAGAATTAAAAATAATTTTCATGTGGGGAGAAAAAATTGTAAAAAACTATAAAAAAAAAATCCGAAAACCTTTGAATCCATTGTACAAGTCACCAAATGTAATTAAAGGGTTTCATAACATAAATCACATCAAAGCCAAGCTTAAAACAAAAACAACTAGACTTTTTCAATTTTAATTGGAATTTTTATTCATATTCATATAGAACCGTACAAACTCAATTATTTTTGGCATTGAAACCACCGATATTTTTTATATACCTATTTCTAGGTCATTTTAGTTCACAAACTTTGCGTCGTTGCTCTAGTCGCAAACGTGAGGATAGAAAGAACCCAAGATAAAAAAAAGGTTACGATCTATCCACAAACACCCCCACGTTGAAGACAACCTCGCAAAAACACAGACTTTTTTTTTGCTTTCGAAATCGTTAAAATATTGGTGAAAATGTTCGCCAAAACCATCAGCATATGCTCTCCCGAAATGGTCTCTGTCCAATCAGAGAAAAAAATGTAATTCCAATTCATTGCCAATGCTGAAGGCACATGAAGATGATCCTGGCGGACAGCTGAGAAGCAATGTTTCGGAAAAGTCTTCACGCTATCGAAAGTCATAGATAAAAATATGAAAAAAACATCATTGCTTTTCCGAGGTTGTTTCGTTGCACATCTAAACGGCTTCCACCCATTTCCCAACTTCCTATTCTTAATCGATCAAGGAATCTTTACGCATTTTAAATGATGCCATAATAACTTAAAAAAAATACTTCTGCTTGCAAATACAAGTTTATCTCGAGATCAAATGCTTTTCCCTGTTAAAGCAACTAGCTAAAAAGTGTTTCTAGAACGCAGGATGTACAAGCTATATATCGGGAAAGAAATAAAAACATTGTGTTGTAATACGACTCACTATTAAACAACCTAAGCGACCTTGCTTCATACAATGATTCATATAATCGTTCTTCAAAACAAAGCCTTATATTCCGAATGGTCGAAAAAGTGGTCCGATCAAATCCATCTTATTAAAACGTCTAAAAGATTGCGCCCTCCAGCTTGAACACAAGCTGCCAAAATGGACAGACGGCCATACAAGAAATTTATTCTCAATCAATCGGTATAACAAAAGGTGGATCTATCTCAAGTCCTTTTGCGGATTGTGTAGCGGATGTTGCAGGAAAATTTTATAGGGGAAGTGATCAAAAAAGTGATCCAATCGAAAACATTTCCAATAGCGGTCACATAACGCAATCATCAAAAATATCTTTAATGTGTTGGTAACATGTTATTTGAACAAACTATACAAGACGGACGGACGGACGGAGAAGCTTCATAAAAGCTTAATAAAATTTCAGTCTACATCAAGATCTTCTAAGCGCTGCATACATGCACACATAATTAATGTACACTTATGACGCAACTGAATAGTGTAGGATAGAAAGAGGATTTTTGCTTTAGATTTAAATATCATAAGTAAATAAATTAGTAGAGCGAGGCTATTAAAAATTCGCGTAAAACGAATATAATGTATTTTCAATTTTTACTCCGGGAATCAAAACAAATTATTATTTAATGCACCAATGCTTTCTAATCTACTTTCAGTTTTTATTATAACACAATACATACACGCCTAGGTAGATGAGTAAGGGGGTAAATTGAAGGGCAATTTTTCAACTAAAACTTTTCATACACTTATCTTCAAGTTACACCCAATCATAATAAAGTTTGTGGGAAAAAATTTAAAAAAAAAAAAAACTCCAAAGGCTGTCAAAACTATGGTAATCGATGGGCAGACTTTAACTTACTTTATAACAAAAACAAAAAAAAAAATCCAAACCTACTGTTTCCTATATAGAAACAGCACTCCATAACACACACACACGCACATACAGGCTTAGGTTGTGAATTATTAATAATTTTTCTTTGTTCAATTTTTTTTTTTTTTTTCATTTTTCAATAAGACCAAAGCAAATAGATATAAGTGCGTACGTAATTTTATATATAATAGGTTTACGGAAAATTTCTGTCCGTTTCGGTGATGAGAAATTTCAACAAGTATACGCATATTCAATTGGCACATATTTGGCTCTCTCTTAGCAAGTGAACGGAAACGAAAATGATTCACGAGTCGTGATCGTGTACTTGTGACTACTGATATATTAGGTATTTTGATCACTTTTGCACTTGAAAGAGTCAGTTATTGAAAAAGATCGGTACAAACATATTACTCAATTTCTATCCTACTGGTAAGATGGCTATACCTTGTCGAAAGAACAATACTGGCAGCCATTCCACGATCGACTCAGCTTCTCGCTTCTTCAGAAATTAGAAACAGATTACCAACCAAGTCATGCTATATCGATCTGAAAAAGTGGCAACCAGAAGGCGCTGTGCCTGATAAGTACGTTACGTGCGGCAGAACTTCCGATTTGAGCTGTGGCCGAGCGTTGGCATGCAATGGGATGACTTCATGTTTGTTATCCGCTATTGATTGTCTTTTTCGCAACAATACAACGTTCAATTCGTTTAATCGATGTCGGTAGATGTCTGCACTAACAGTTTCATACGGTTTTGGCAGCTCGTAGTGCACTGGACCTTGCAGATCCCACCGTACGCGCAGCAAAACTTTATGACCATAAATATTCGATATGGGTGCTTGGCTTTGTTGTAGTAGGTCTACTTTTTATCGCCAGAGAGTTTGAGCTAGCTTTTTGCCCAATCTTCCAGCCTTGTAACTTATTGTTTTCGAACTTTTGTTTAGCCTATCAGGTCGAAACCGACTTTTGTGATAAGATTGAATAGCGTGATGGAGTAGTCTTTGATAATCTTCGACGACAAGTTTCATCAAACGAAACAGCAAAAGTTATGAAGGTTGGAAGTGCAATTTTGAGCGCGCCCTAATGACTGTAGGCATACGCTGAATAATTCAACAATGCTAAATGGAAAACTTTTATTTTATGTAATTTGCATTAACTTATCACTTTCGTCTATAGAAGTCGCTGATCGAAATATTTGCAAAATGCTATTGGTTCACTTACGCCATTGCATTTTGTATGACTTCCAACAACGAAGAGATCCTACAGAAGCTTGTAGAAATTCGTTTGTGTGTGTGTGGTGAAGATGTAGTTTTTGATAGAGCCTATGGAAGATGGATTGAAAAATTTCAAATAAATGATTCGATCTTTCCGATAAGCAACGCCCGGGTCGGCGACAATACTGCCAAAGTAATGTAAGATCCTTTTCTTTTTTTAAATAATGGAAGATTATGGAAAGTCTTGACTGAGTTCAACAAACCATCTCGGCCTTTATTCGGAAACTAGTACAGAACTTTCCCGTACATCTAATACATAATAGTAAATGGTTTTGACATCAAATGTTTGCTCTTTAAAACGATGATATTTTTCTAAAATAAAAAAAAAGTCCATAATTGCGGTTTTTTTTTTTTTCAAATATTAAATAAGTTTTTGTTATGGTTACGAGGGCATAAATTATTCCTATCACTTAAATTTTTAATAATATTTTACGAAAAAATGTCTGGTTGATATAAAATGAAAAATTATTTTAATAAAAAGCTTCAAAGGTTGGGTTTTAAATATAAAAAAAAAAAAAAAACCAATTTCAAGAACTTTTCAAAACAAAAGGTTTTTCCACATTTTGCTCTTACAGAAAGCACATACGGAACGTCGCCAACTTATCGCAGATACGCAGCCGAACGTGAACAGTATCAACACTAACGCTAATGCTCAAGTCAGTGCTAATACGGATTTCAATACACATTCGAACGCGAACGCTGACGCTGACGCCAATGCTAACACGAATGTTAAAACTGTTGTTCGCTCGCGAAAAGTCATACAAACGCAGCCTTCTACTACTACTGGAGTAAATTCAAATTTGGGAATAAGCTACAATGCCCAAGCTAACGGTGACATGGTTCGCAGTGCGTTGCAGGTTTGTCGCCAATAATTCCGACGATTGATGTCTTCACTGAAATGTATTTCAATTTCTACCTTTCAGATACCTATCGGAATTTTGCAATCATTACAGCAATCTCTGTCAGGTCTAAGCGCCTCGAAAACTGTAACGGTTAATAAACATATTTCGAAATAATTTTTAACAACATTTCGGATATCTACAGAAAAAATTATAAAAAAAATTAAATTACATTTTAATTAAGATTTTGTATCAAAAAAAAAAAATAAAATAAATAAAATAAAATACTTTTTTTTACAATTAATTGACTGTAAGTATGTTTCCGTGGCTCTTAGTTCACTTGGAGACTTAATGGTAAAAAAAGAGTAAATCGCAGATGATCAGTTTGATCTAATTACATTAAAATGATTTATCTTAAGAAACATCGAAACGATCGCCTGGGTTTGATTGCCACATTGACGGTTTAAAAAACATTAAACTCGATCATGGAACTTATATATATAACGGATTTTCGGAAAAACCTTCGAAAACTTCTTTCCGTCGCTGATCGAATCTTTTTTTTGATTAACTTTTTTCTCAAATAATTATCAATGAAAAGAATTTTTGATAATTTTGCTATCGTTTTGTTAGGTTCCGCCTTGATATATATTTTTCAAGTATGTAGTGCACTGGATTTCCCGCTCCGTTCATAACACTCAGCCATAACGGTCAGATGTCCAATAAAATAGTAAATGCATAACTTACGGGGAAAAGACAATAACCCCTCATTAACCCTGGGAATTAAATTCGTACTCATTACCTTCAATGCGCTCGAATATAATTTCAACGCTTAAACAAGTAAAAACACCACCTTGCCTTACACTGTTATCCATATAACCAACTTCTTTTGAGAAGTAAAAGAAGAAGAAGAGAAGAAGTTATATGGGAAGTGATCGGAAAAGTGGTCCGATTCGAGCCGCTTCTAATAGCTTTCGCTGTTAAGCCAAAACATGTCAGCATATAGTTTAAACAAAAGAATATAAGATGCGCGAATGGACAGACAAACTTAATGAAAGCTTAATAAAAGATGATTCTACGCCAAGTCTTGGCTTTTGCATACATCTGCACAAACTTAGTACCACAAGTTGTGCAGTGTATTATTTATTTATTTATTTATTTATTTATTTATTTATTTATTCCACTTACACAAGAAACTGAACTAAAACAAAATGGGAGTCGAGTTCAATTGACTCTTAAGTAAATCTTAAAATTAATTAATAATAAAACTTAGTATAAGTACAATAAAACAAATAAGGAGGAAAAAAAGAAAAAAAAAAAAAAAAGCATGTACACAATTAGCATAGAGCCACACCCACAACCGATACAGGACCAAATTGCAAGTGAACCCCTAAGCCATCGCAAACATGCATAAGCTTGGCAACCGATAATTGTTAACAACAAATTAATTTTCGACTCATTATGACATATTCAAGGTTAAGTCAGTTTAAGTACGACATAGGTAAATCGCGCGTATTAAGCAATGTTGCTTTAATGGACTTTAAAGAGTCCGTTAATGAGAATAAATGATAGACGTCATTTAGGTTCTTGTAAACAACTCTGAGCGGGTTAAACAGTTCAAAATTATATTTGCATTGACTAAGCTTTATCAAAAACCAATCAAGCCTCATTCCTGTCATACAAGTCACTTAGATTATACAAAGACATGAGCCGCTCACAGCCCGAAGCGGTTAACTTATTTGTTACATTTAAAATACCTTTTTCTAATAATTGGGCTTAAGACGCTACATGACAGTAATTTTTAGAGCCATTGAATAATAATAAGTATCTTTTTTTCTACAAAAGGTAGAGAAAGAGAGAGAGAGAGAGAGAGAAAAGGGCAAACGTATACAAATTTATGAATGGATATTTTCAACTTTATTCTGTTACCGTGTTATACGAGCCCACTTTACATGAACACGTTTACGAACCCGTCTTATATGAATACGTATTATACGAGAGTTTAGTGTATGTCACTTCAGTAACGCGTTAGCGTTAGAATTGGTCCATTCAAAAGGATGCATATACAAATAGTTTGAGTTTGTTTGAAACTGAAGCGGCCATTAACTGGGATACAAGCTTCCACAGGAGCTTGTGAAAGTTGAGAAACAGTTAAAAAAAAAAGATGTTATTTAGTTCAGTTTTTTTATATACATAAGTAATAATCTTTTAATCGTTTGTGAATAGTTGGCATCTGGTTTCAGCCTTAATCTGTTGACCTCGCTTCAAAGTCTACAAAGTTTGTAAAATATATTGTTTTGAAAAACAGTAAAAACGTTTTAGTATATCTTTAAAGACTTCTTCCATTAATTTCATGCGTGCAATAAACATTTCTCAGCCGGCTAGAACAACTTTTTGCAACAACTTTTAATGGTTTCCTTCAAATCATTTTCCTTAAATAAATTGTTTGCCAGCGCATATCACCGAGGTTTTCGCGACAAGTGCTGTATTTATTTAGAAATGTTCCTGGTGCTCGTTAACCGTGAAAATCCACAAAACACACATCGCTACAGCCTTACGCTAGATACACACGCAGTTAAACGAATGTTTGTGTTATTGGCCAAAAAAGAAGAAGAAAAAAAGCTTGTAAATATTTATTTTCCATTGTGTGGGAAATGAAAGTTTACAGCTTTGATTACCTTTAACTTTACTTTTTAGTGATCGGTTAAATGTAAACAAGTTGTCCTAGGGAAGTGCACTTTTAAATTCAGCGAATACCTGAACACACAAAAGCACTACGAAACACTTAGAGAACGCTAGAGAGAGAGAGCAAATCGGTATAAGTGTAGATTAATGCTACTATTGAAGTGCAAACGTCTTGCATTTTATACCTTAAAGATGTAATGGAAATGGATGAAAATGGAGGAAAAATTTATAATGCGTAGGTGTGGCTGATTTTTTATATGTGGTATTTAAAGCGAATATTTCGATATTTGCGAACTTGAATACGTGTACCACAGGAATTAATTGAAGCATGAACAGACGGACTGACATCATGATAGAATAGTCCAGATTTGATATTGATCAATTATGCGTAGACGAAGCTTCTTTCTAAGTGCTGCAAAAGTTCGCATAAAAGAATGAAATTTCAGTATTCTTTAATATTGATTGATTGATTGATTGATTGGGCACTGCCGATATTTTCCCACCTATTGAATATAGATGTAAATTTTTATCGTTGTATCTATCTATTTTAGTTTAGAAGTGACGAGCAAAAAAAAAACAATTGTTTCTTTATAGATGTGTGAACTATAATTTCATCCTTTGACCGATTTGGCTCAATTTCAGTACTAAACCGAAGGAAACCCTAAAGGAAAGTGGTCGAAAACCAAGTCGTTTCCGAATCATTTTGAACGACGTTCGTCCTTAAGCCAAGGCACGCCGGTATACCAAATTTCATCAAAAAATATCCCCAAAAAATTCCGACCCGTAGATTTAAAGACGCCTGCCGGACCGACGAACAACAAGCTTAGCTCGATTCAGAAAATGTGTCTGACTGGATAGGGTAATAAAACGTGAGTGCATCTCAAGACACTCTGGCTGTTGTAAACATCCACACCAGCTTAATATACTTTTAAAATATGACAAATATTCACTAATATCCGATTATAACGACTACAAATTCGCCCCAGGCTTTCTATAAATGAATAACAAACAAACAATAATGATGCGCACACATTGAAAATGTTTTCTAATTATAGTAGATCTTAACAAATGACCTCTTAAAAAGGAGTTGGAGGACAACTTGTGACATAACCTCAAAAAAAATAAATAAATAAATACATAAAGGAGAATGTGGCACTCGGATGAAAGAGCCCTATATATGAAATTAAGTTTTATCTTAGTCGAGTGAATGTTGGCCTATTGCAAAGTATTTTCACATATCTCTTATCTGCTATAATTTTAAAAAATAATTCAAATCAAATAAAAAAACTTTGAGATTTGAATTTCCTTATGCTTGGGTAATTTTAGCGTGTTATCAAATTAAGCCGCTAAAAGCCCACTGAAGATATGTATAATTTAACCTTCAACTTCCATGATTTCCGAGTTTGAAAACATATGCAAGAAATGATTGCGAATCAGTTGACGCTAAATTCACATTTTATAAAGAGTATTATTTGATGTTACGCAACAAGGCATAATCAAATATATTCTTATACATCGGTGTAGCGTGTATATATTATTTTCTTGTGCACAAAGAATGAAGAAAATGAAAGGAAAAAGAAATTCTTAAAATAAGAAACCTCTGCAAACAATTTAAAAGAATGAAAGAAAAAAAAGGAAATAATGAATAAATAAATTCACCGGAAACGGAAATTAGTTAAACAAGTAGAAAAATTTTTCAAAAGACAATAATAATGAGAATTTAGCATGCAAACTGTAAAGGATAGGTAAGAGTAAAAAATATTCAAATGAAGTTAGATAGAGAATGAAAATGAGATGCCAGCGGAAACAAATATTCGGTAGAATAAATCAAAAATATAAAATGACACAAAAAAAAAAAGATACACAAATTTAATGCCCGGATAAGTTATCTTATTAAGCAGCATTCAGGAAAAGTATCTCATTACATTAATTATTATCTTTGTAGTTATTTTTTTTTTTTTTTTGTACAACCATCACGACAGATATATTCATTTATTAAAATGCCTGCAAAACCTAGAAAGAAGCTTCAGATACCCTATACAGTATATATATATTCCTAGTCAGTTCTATATTGTGAAACAATTTAAACGTATCCGTCTGTCTGTCCTTTTGCTTAATATCTGTTTTAAACCATCCGCTGACCACAAAAATGAAGCCATCGACTTCAAATTTGCCAAAAACATTGACGGAAACGTTCTTGCGCGCAGTTTGGTATTGAGAATGAACCAAATTGGTCAACGAACACGTCCACGGTAGATTGGGTTCTTTGCTCATTGCCCATAAGCTACAGCAGATAAGTGTACGAAAATTGTAACGAATATTCTGTTCATGATACTATGATAGTATCTGCGAGAAAATTAAAAAAATTGGCCACGCTTCTCCAATACTATAGAGAATCAAAATTTATCGAGTAACGAACTAATATATCGGTTTTTGTAAAAACTTTTCCAATGATATACAGCAAAAGGGAGAGTAATTGACATCAGCGGAATCATCTACAAATACGGTCGCATTGTTACTCCTACTCCGTTTGAAAAACGGTAATCAAAAACTGTTGAAAACATTTGAAAAGTCAATGTTAACCAATCAATTTTATAATTAATAAATTCGTTGACTCTTTTACAACGCTTGTTGTACAAGGATCTGTTAGGATTATGCGTGCGTATACAAGGCCCAGAATAACTTGAGATAGACACACGTTCTATTGCACCCATCGGACCACTTTCTGATTCGGTCTAACCTTACTTGTTGGTCTGTCGGATGTCAGTCCATGGTTTGTTGTGTTCGACCTACAGACGAGAATTTTTGAGATATTTTGATGAAGATCGAATGACAGATATTGATTCGACCACTTTCGCTTTATTTTAAAATGTCGTTATATGAAAAACTGTAGGGTGGTTTAGGATATTTTATGGTGTGCCGCGAACCACAATAATCTTTTTAGATGCTTGTACAATGATTTACTCTACTATGAAAATGCTCTGCACTGTTAAACATGAACAAGACGAGAAGACTCATAGGACGCAAATTGCAAGCTACACTGCGCTGAGGTAAGCTGCATCGTCCACATCATTTTAAATAAGAATAAATGGGGCAATAATATGAAAAACGAAATCATTTTTTTAAGAAATGAGGGCGACGTCTATCGGCTTGTGGTCGAAGACGAACTAAGTGAACAACTTTAATTGATTCCTGACAAAAAGACGGCCAAAGCACTTTTTTACAAATCGTAGGCATGAAATTATTCCACCCAAGGGCCAATTTACAAAAATCGAAGAAGTCGAATACTATGATAAACGTTGTTTATAAAAGAAATCGCTTAATCACCGTATGCTAAAAACCTATTTACAAAACATAAACTCCCTTCTCTTCGACAACATTAAATTCGTCAACTTCGTGTGGAGAATAAGCAGCGACAACTTAATGCACATACAATCAAACGATAAGGAAATGATTCCAAAATATTAGAATAATACAGAGAGTAGACTGTCTGCTAAAAAGTTCCAAAGGAATAATGATTAATAGTGCCGATGAAATAAATTTAAAAACCGTTAAAGTATACGTAAATATTTGAATGGTTTATCAACATTCACCTGTCGCTGGTGGTAAAGCCCAAGGCGACGATAGCCTTTTTATAATTTCTAACGTAAAGGTGCCCAAAAATTCCACTTGAGAATCATTTACATCAGCGCAACTAAATAAACAGAGTTAATAGCAAATGCGGAGAAATCGTTACAACATTTGCAGCTTGAAAATACTTTTTGAAATTTTAATGTATTCGTAGTCATAATAATTTAAACTTAACTAAAAATTATACACTTTTTTAATTATACTAATGTTCACATCCATTCACATTTGCTTACTTAATCGGCCATATTGTCCGGTATCTCTGAATCTTCTATAGTTTTAGTCGATGGTATATACACTTTAAAAGAAAATTTCGATTTTAGAAACGATCCAGTATTTAGCACCGTGCAGCCGTGTTGTGAAACGGTAAAACTTTGACACGAATCGCCAATAACTATAAGATCTGGCAAAGGATATAGCCAGAGTGCAGCATCATAGTCCCAATAAACGGGACTTGCTATAGGATGTATAGGAGTCAAGTGTCCCTGACATATTAAAGTGCGAGCAAAATGCTGTTCTATATTATTAATGTCGGTGGGAAAGTGCAAAGTATTACGACAAAATTTGGCCATTAAATCCAAACGGCAAACTACAATTTGTTGAGTGCAGTACTGCAAGCGACAAGGATTGGTCAGCAATTTGGTGCGAGGCCAAGCTTTTAACAATCCACTAGCTAAAGTTTTGGGTATAGCTGGTCGTGGTAATATATTTGGAGCAGTGGGATCCTCACAGGAAGGTACTAAAATGAGTTCAGTTTCTTGTTTTAATCGATCACAATCATTAGCCAAAGCTGCTAACGCATCGAAGTGAGAACGTAAAGCATGTGGTTGTCGTTCCGAAACGGCAAATGGTCCCATTAAAATTATGGCCACTGGAGGGCAAGAATCGTAGCCCATAAATAATAAACGCAACTTTTCCATTACCATAGGTTGATCCAAACGTACGTCGGAAAGGAAGACTATAGTGGCCTCAGAATTGGAACGCTCCAATTCTTGTAATTGGCTAGAATACTTTAACAATTTCCTGGAATCTCCACCCCAGCTATTTTGAGTGCCAAAAAATGCTCTACTCGAGGCGGCCGACTCAACCGGGGGAAAACCTAAGCCATCCACTAAAAAAAATGAACGATACTTTATCACACATTGCAATAGATTCCCCTTACTAGATTACCTTTTAAGACACCTTCGTCATAAGCACCCTCAGCTAAAACAAAACAACCTTCGCAAAAAAAGCCAGCATGAAAACGGGTTGCGCTCAAGTCTAATTCTACATAGCCGGTAGGATCCTCTATGAAAAATTTACCCTCTTTCAGCTGTGTCAATAACCCCAAGACCACAGCTTCTTCCACTACTGACGTGGCCAGTAAATTTTCACAATATAATAACTTGAACTTTTTAATTCTGGATTCTGCCGACACACCATTTTCTATTACGGCCGGAGCGAACAATTCATGGCGTAATGTTTTCTGCAATAAAAGCTCGTATCGTTGCCTTAAGTGACCAGTTTTCATAAAAGGTTTAGTTAATAGAACTCGCGGTTCACTGGACAATTCAAATTTTTTGCTTTGCCGATTGTAGTCATATCTGGGTATCGAAAAGGCGTCAATTACAGAAAACACTGTCTGATCTTCATCCAAACCTACACGATTTATTTCGTTAATGGCTTTTTCCAAAGCCGGGCGTTCAACAAGTTGAGATTTTAAACGTTGGCTTTGTAAATTTTCTGTGATGATTGTCAACCATTTCTCCCGCTCCGCAGTGTCAAAGGGCAGCAGTTGTCCGGCTAAATATTCACTATTCTCGGAAAGTATAAGAAACCCGCTTAATTTGAAATAAGAGGATATTTTCTTTTTCAATTTGACTAAATCTTCCATCACACACAAAAATAAAAGTTCTTTTCCGAACTAAAATCCCGCCAAAACTTACGTTTTTAGTGATGCCACCAGGAAAATATATATACAAATTATGTTAACAATAAAAATTCGATCAAGCAAAATATGGCGAAAAAAAAATTGTTTTTTAATAAATATTTTTTAATTTAGATTTACAGGCATTTCTTGTTAATTTAACACCACCCACATATAAAAAATTTTATTATTAACTTCTAGTTTAAACAAACCTGTTTTTTGTTAAGTTAACTACAGCCACCTTTGCTTTACAGAATGCCGGCTTTCTTCCAACAGCTGTGCTTGTTTACATGTTTTTCTTAACAAAAAACAGCTGCTTTGCTTATTTCTGCTTGTTTATCTTTTTATAGCGAAAACAAAAATTAGAATATTTGTTAACAATACAAAGTGTGGAAAAAATTAAAGTACCGTGGAATTCAGGACTTGCGCGGTAAGTTGGTATTAAATTGAACGCCTAAAACTTGCACGTTGGTCATTGCGAAAGTAAATGTTGCAGAGATAAGACCTTGTGCGTGCGTAAAAAAAAGAGAAGAAATCGAAGTTAAGTAACTTTGGCAAAGAAAAAAAGCATAGTTTTTCTAAAAACTAATTTCTTATTAATTTTTTTCTCAAAGGTTAAGAGTGCAGGAGCATGGATGAATTTAAAACCATAACAGCGACCACTTCAGTGGTAAAAATTTCGGCTTGTTTGGAAAAGATTTACAAAAAAATTGTTGAAAGCCGTGACAAGAAAATAGCCGAATTTAATATTAGAGAAATTGAGTTTCTAAAAACCCAATGCAAAACCGACAACATACAATTATGTTTAATGAGTTGTCAGACTTTCGTGCGTTTAGTTGATAATGGTACCTTGGAAACGACGAACGTTTTAACTATATTAATGTCTTTATTGCCTAATTCAAGGTAAGTTATAACATTTATTAAAAATTTTCTTCTCTTCATTCATTGAAATAGTTTTAAAAGGCTTCCTCCCTCTAAACAATGATCACTATAAATTAGTTATTATTTCCGCTAGTCCTAGCAATGGGATAGCTAGTGTCAGTCCTTAAGATTAAGTGTGTTATTTAAAAAAATTTTTTTTTGTATAATTTTTTTACATTTCGTTTTAATTTGTTTACATTTTGTTTTATACGTTCATCGCATGTCTCTGAAATCTATATACAAATAACAGCTACTTCCCTTAATTCATGTTTTATTGCCGTGGGCTTCCGTTTTGTTAGTATCGTTGCAAACTCACACTCATATAACAGTAAATGGTCGTCGGTTTTTTGCACCCTTTTTTTATTGTTTTTTGTTTTCTTTTTCGATTACATCTGCATTGAATGGACTGTAAAAGTTAACCTAGAAGGTTCAATGTTAATTTATAGACGTGTATTTACTCGGTTATATGCTAACTTATACTAAGCTGTAAAATTAAGTGTAGAGTCAATATCTCCAATATTAAAAAGTACAATGACGAATAATATCCTTTCACTTAAGTCAATTAATTTTCTTTTCCTTCGGTTCTTTTTTAAAGTCTGAATATTTCGTTTGTTCGGCCTACTACCTACTTTCTAATATAACATTTATTAAACTTAATTGGTGCTTGCACCAGAAAACAACTAAATGGGATACTATTGTAAAATTACACGAGCATGCATAACTTTCATGTGTAAATTAATTTACCTCAAATTTGCTTAAACACGCAAAACAAGTCAGTACGATTCTTGTAAATAAAAAAAGTCGAAGTAAGTGAAAATAAAAACTCGAAAATTTCGTCAATTAATAAACTTAAATATTTAAATAAATTTTCTATTTTGTAGAATGCTATAGTAGGTTGCTCAGATAATCATAGCTGTAAAATAAAAAAGTTCTTAATTGAATACTAGCTTTGAGGGTCGAGACCCCCCACGCTACGTGTGACCTCCAGACTGCTTGTAAATATGCAGGCTTATCTATTGTACGTTTACGCCATCAATTTGAATCGTTTCACATCTGTTTCAAAGCACATTGACGACAAAGGCGCTTTCAAAGTCTTTTTCTACGACGTTCAGTGGAAACAGCTAAAAGAAGCTTTTACGGCATGTCATGCTTCATTATTTAAAAAAAATAATTGTGCAGAGAAGATTTGCACTGTTTATGAGAGTGGTGCTGTGACTATTAGAACCACCCACAATTGGTTTAAGAAATTGAATACAAATGAAAACAGTGCTAAATACTTTTAGAAACGTTGCCGATGATCTGTATTTGATGATTTGATCTGTGTACCATTTTGATACTGCTTTTCAAATCAGATTATCGGCAAACAATTCGATTAAACCGACGTTAGAAAATGCTAAAGTAGACGGTTCGAAGATGGTTTTAATACATGAAACCCACTCTTATCCCAAAATGCAACTATCCAATGGAAAGTAAGACGTTCATGCATCCAAATCCGAGTCATAGCTTAGCTTATGTGAAATTCTCTTTCTATGACTACTTTAACTTTAGTTCGTTAATCTGTCTCTGCAAACCCCTGGTGGGACTATTACAATTTTCTTGGCCGAGGAGGATCACTTATATTAAAACTGCGCATATCTAACTCTTTGGCTAACCATTCGTTTATTGTCCGTTCAGCTCGATATTCGAAAGCGCTGGCGTTGACTTCGTCAAATGATTTTAAGAGAAAATTGATCTCCATTCGTGAACGCCTGTATTCGTCCGATAAGGGCGATTGACGATTACAATGATTAGTGATAGAGCAAAGTGATCCTTTAAATAGTCCTTAGTTCTTTCTATGCATAGAATTTACATTAATCTAACTATATATGCCGGCCTATGGCTAAATAAAAAAAAAATTAGATTAAATTAACTGAGAAGAAAGCCCTCTAGGCTAAGATGGACTCAGAACCTTTCATTTATAAGACAACAAGAACGTAAAAAAGATTCTAAACCATTGTATTAGCGTAGCGGGTACACGCTTTATGTCAAATATTATTTATAAAATATAAATAAGTTCAACCCTAAGAGAGAGAAGAATTCTGAGAATACTTGAAATTTCATTTATCCAAGCGAGATAGCTCTTTATTTATAAATAAAAAATATTATACAAAAGCCATATAAAAAAAAAACCAAACTTTTAAAGGATAAGAAAAAATTTACTTGTTGATGCAAATTCCGCATTAAGCTTGTTTCCATGATGTTGTGGTAGCTGCTCTAAAATGGTATATAAAGTTCCTTAACGCATTAATTTCTTAAATTTTGCTCTCGATTGGGTTCTTCCTGTCCCAAATACGGGGCTCCTCTCTGATTGTGAAATTGTGAAGTGCATCGTGTCATAAAAATACACATTTCGTGAGAAGGGTTAATTTTGACACCAGGCCTTCCTTTTTTTTTTTTTGGTATTGGCTGTTAGTATAGACGAAGATCTTACAAGATTTAGCAAAATTTGTTTGCAAATCCAACCTGAAATAAACAACAAATTTAAGTTCGAAGTTTACAAGAACTTCAAAAGCCTACTCTCGTAAGTTAAGGTATCCGTCATCCATCACAAGTTTTATGACTCGAGTTGCAGCAGCAGACTTGTGCGAATGTTTAAAGCAATCTGATTTCGTACTTGCTGATAAAAAATTCAAAATTTTAAATTCCCAATATTTGTGTGTGTGCAGTTGAATTTTAAAGTTCCATATTCAATGGTACGATTAGTTGCAATTTAATATTTGAACCATTTCCCATAAGCAGGCGTTGACTTACTATCTCATAAATTGTACTTAAATACGTAATGCTTGACAAATTCCATCTGTTCTCACACTCTACATTCGTTCACATTATTTAGACGAAGACCTTGCATTCAATGCATAATAAACATAAATTATATCGCAAACACGACATATAGCAAAGTTACATTACACTCAAAATGCAAGACGTTTACTAAAGGATGTACAATTTAGCAATAAATCATCTTTGCTCACTCCGCTTAGCCAACATGCAAGCCAGCGTTTCGGTCACTGCAAATTTTACATATCGTAAAATTACACCCGTAGCCCTTCGCCTCCCAAAAAGGTATAAAGCAACTTTATATGCGAGACATTGACTTGATTTGAGTTGAGAGTTTTGAGTTTAACCTATTAACCGCAATTTATTTTTTTCATTTTCAGGTAACACGTTAGGTGTAATATTGCATGCAATTGGTTGTAAAATGCAGAAATGAAAGCGAAATTAAAATTATTGTACATTTTCAGTACAGAAGTATTATTATTATTATTATTTATTAGCAAAATGGCTGAATGCTGTATATTTGAAATTTTTTATTTTTATATTATACATTACTTGTGGTACGAAGGCATATTAAGGTAGTGCGGATGAATGCAACGCCTAAAAAACTTGAGATAGATTCACTTTATATGATGCTGACAGATTCAGAAAATAATTCCTAATCGATCCAATCTTGTCTGTCCATCAGACCAGCTTTTCGACCGCTTTCCATGCAACATCACATTTTAAAGAGTCGTTGTACGAATACATGAATTAAGCCAGGTGACGTGGGGCATTTAATGGTAGACCCTCGCTCACTACACTCGTTCGATTGTGCCACATTTACGCATCCTGCGCCTCGGTTGATTTCATTAAACCGTGTTCCAAACAACTTAATGATCCTTACAGTACAAAAAGACACATTGACTGTACGTGAGCTTAGTCTGACTACTAGTTGAGTATGCCTTTATTGTGTGATCTCCTTCTTACAATTGCTATGCTTATCTCCTTATGAAAATGGATTGCTTTTGCTAGCCTTACCGTCACTTGAGAAAGATAGATTTATGATGGTGGATATGATGGTAATAAATGGTACTATCGATTCGTAGACATCACTTCAAGATATTGACTTTAATGTGCTGAAGTGCTTCTCTGTCAATCCTTAGTCGAAGTAGATACAATTGCGAACAGTTCATTCTGTTCAGAGTACCTTTCAAAAATATAAATGATATCTATTACTTAAACTCAATATCGGTTTCTGTAAATTCTATTAAACCAGCTCTCCTTAATATTATGCGCGATATGCCTATGCTATAGTTAAATTAAGTTGTAAGCTTAATGCCTGAACGAAAATTAACTGCTATTATCAATCGAGACAATTCGGGTCTGCACTGATTGCGGGCTGCGGGGTTACCTCTTTACTCTTTACCTCTCTCTCTCTCTCTTTCTCTCTCTCTCTCTCTCTCTCTCTCTATCTATCTATCTATCTATCTATCTACCTATCTATCTATCTCTCCTTCTTTCTTTCTCTTATTTATTTATACATTAATTTTATTCTTTTCATATTTGTATTATCTTCTCTGTACGCGCTTTGTATTAGTTATTAATAATATTAGGTTTACTTCTAAGAGTCGATTGCAAACAAAACGGGTTCAATTCTTCGAGTTGCAAGTGTGGACGATATCTTAAATTGAAATACGATATTCTGTAGTCTATGTAGTTCTCTACGTTTGTGATCAATTCAAAACATATTCTCCAGCTCTTGCTAACTTATAGTTATGTAAAAAAAAAAAGTTAAGCTAGTTTAACAAATTAAGCTAATTTTTTTTTTTTTTTTCTTCTTAAAGCGATGCTAATAGTCACAGAAATTGCTGCTCATTATGGTTTTCCCCTATTTTTTCGAAAAATTCATTTCATTGGATTAAATTACTTTGCAGTAATCAAAGTAACAGTAATTTAATCATAGCTAAAAGAACTTTCCTTTCTTTTTTCGCTTATTTCGTTAAATCTAGAGCAACAGTGATTTTATACAATGTTTTCTTAAGTAACTGCTTGTCGTTAATATTAGCCTTGCACTTGAATTTTTCCAATTTCTTATTTCTCTTAAGAAAAAACAAACGCCACTGAAGTATTTTTTCACATACTTAACGTAAACTATGTCCATAAGTGCTTATATATATGAATAAAAGAGAAAATAAAACGAAAAAAGCAAACCTTGACAATAGACTGCCGGGGAATATACTATGCAAATGAAATGAAACGACGTCTATTATGGGATTTGCATAGTAATGAGTTAGTTAAAGGAAGTGCAACCATTTATATAAAGGATAAGAAAACTCACGACATTTTCGATACTCCTCCCAATTTTTTCTACTCCTTTTAAAAGAGAGTGAATTAATAAAAATTATAATCAATTAATAATTTATGATAAATGTTTTATCTATACTTTCAGTCCTTTACAATGTAATGCTATAACTGAATCTATTATTAACCTGCTGCTGATGAATATAAAACGAAAAGTTTCATCGCTTAAGGAAAACGAAACGTTTCAATCGCAATATGGTCTCAAAACTCAGCAACATCCGATGATTACTCTATTACAAAATCCCGCTGTAAATATGAACGATATTGCGAATAAAATTAACGGCATTTGTAATCACTATGATAAACAGTAAGTGACAATAATAATACTATACTTGTAATATACATTAACTTGTATTCTGTTTATTCCTTTTAAAAAGAATAAAAGATGTCAGTATCGAGTATTTAAGACCGGTTTATTTGTATATACTTTGCAATCCACAAACTTTACCGGATTCAAAAGCTATTTGGACTGGATTGTTGATTTTAAGTCGTCAAAATAAAGAGGCCAAGGAATTAATGCAAGACATTCTATCGTGGAGTAAAATTTCATCTTCGCAAAATTGTCTTTTCACGAGCATCCTCTTAATAGAAGCCATTGAGTACTTCCTGTACAATAAGGACTTTAAGCAGTGTTTGGATTTAAGCATATATCAATTATTAGTTATAAATTACTTAACTAAATACGGCATTGATCCTCGGCCAAGTCTACGTTGTATCTTAAGGGTGCTGCATGCAACAAAGCAAGAGTCACGTGATTATTATAATGTAATGTTAATATTGCTAGCAGATATCATACATATCTTGGTACCTGCATATTTGCCTGATTTGATGCGTGTAATCAGTTTCATAGTTGTGCAGGAGAGCTGTGGGCATCAATACATTCTGAACATGTGCCTTGATGGTATCATCCAGTGGATGTCTCAGACTGCATTCATACCCGCAGACGGTTTAGCCATCGCTCATCAAATTGTGCGCAAAATTCTCAATATATCCAAAGGAACTGATCATTCCCTATCCGTGAATACCAAACAAATTGATCCGTTGAGCATAAAATGCTACCATTCCAATATAGCGATAGCCGTAGATTTAGCTAAATTGGTAGAATTCTTTGACGAATCAGAATTCAAAGACGTCTTTTACTTTGTGGACACTTTGAACGTTAAAGCGAACTCAGCATTTAGTCAACGCTTGCATTTATTTCTAAGAGCTTTATTTCTTTCGCGTGATCTCTCCATGGATTGTTGGTTTAAAGTCTATCAAGTCCTATTAGAGATAATAAAAGTCAACAATGGCATAGCCTACGATTTTTTAATGACCTATCTCTTCAAATTGGGCGATGAACATAGTCCGGAAATACAAATCGAACTCTTGAGGGGTTTACCAAATTTTGCCGTCTCCAAGGTAATTACAAAATCATTCTGTATATATTATTTTAAATTTTCTTAATTATTCAAAAAAAAATATTTTAGGATAATATACCTATGATTTTGAATACTGTACATATCTTAACGACTGAAAATCCCACCTTTTGCATGGATTTGTACTTGAGACTGTGGCGTGTTGAGACGCGGACATATCCTTTTCTTATTAAGTTGCTAGCACTGCCTTTCAAAGACGCACAACGTAAATGGGAATTTGAAATTGCCAAAACGCACACCATACGCGAAATATGCTTAGAGCAGTGAGTGCCTTGCATAATTAATTCCCCACTTTTACTTAAACTTATAAAATATTTGATAACAGACCTACGCAACATGGTTCCGAATTAGTATCACATCTTTCCGACATTTTAAACACCTGTACAGATGAATCCGGAGACTTAGCGACATCCCTGGCATTGGATGCTATAGTGGCTTTGTGCGACAGTCATACTGTAAATATAGCCTCTACTTGGCGTGTTTTGAGCAGCAAATTTCGTCATGAAAAAAGACCACGTGCCCTAAAATCTTTATATCGGTTTTTTGCTCATGTTCCTCTTTTACAAACTCCTACTTTAGAATTTGAGCAACTCGTTGATGAAGCATTGGATCAATTATGGATGACTATAAGTCGTTCAGATAGCGAATGCAATTTGATATGCGAAGCTTTGGCCGCTTTAAAGCAATATGAAATTGGTAGCTTGTTAACTTTGCGTCACATACCGCCACAATTTCGTCAGAATTTACATGTGGCGCGTGAATACACAGCACCCGACGGTCGGGCTGTAGTAGATTTGCAGCAAGAAATGGTACCTGGTGAGTGCTGGGTGCAATTACTGCAGAAAATACGTCCCGAATGCGGTAATGCAGCAGCCGATTTAATAGCTCATTATATTTACAATGAAATCAATAATTATCGAAGTGGTGTCTACCGTTTACCCGAAATCCGACCGGAGCCGCGAAAATTGCAAGGCTTATCTGCCCAAAGCCCTTTAAGAGCGACAGTTGCTTATTTGGTCAATCAAGCACGTTTCGGCGATCATAACATTACTGAACCTCACGCGATCACAAACGCCTTAAGAGCTATATCGAAAAAGTTCCCCAAGCCTATACCGCCATTAGACTGGTGTTTTCTGCACAGTTTCTTTCACTTATCATTTGAAGCACGCAAGTATTGCATCTTAATAGCAAAAAATCAATTATTGCATTCGGGTACAGCCCGCCGTATAATAGAAAATTTCCTCGTCGAATTTGAGCCCAATTGCTTCGAAGAGGATTTACTTTTATTGTTCTCATTACTACCAGAAATTGGTAACGGTGTTAGTTTAACAATATTGAAAACATTTGCCGAAAAAGTGGCTCTATATTGTTTTAAAGAATCTCAGCTGAGTGGCTTTGCTGATGGCTGCTTATTTGAAAAGTTTTTGGAAAGCGTGCGACTAGTATTTACTGGTAAATGTGATATACCAGAAGTATTAGATGTCTTCACATTAATAGTAGAGCGTTATATAGATTCAATGGACATTGATTCTCGTCTATTTGAGCGTTACACTGAGGTTGTAGCCTTACTAAATACTAACGCTATTGAAGGTCTGACATCACCGGCCAATTGGTGGGAAACTCCTACCGGTAAACTTAAGAAAGCGACTATTATCCGCTCTTATTTAGTATTATATAATAATCAGCTGAATAATCCATTAAAATGGTTAAATCCAATTATTGATGCATTTGCTAAACGGCAAGAAGAACATTTGTTTTTCTACCACCATTTAGCTACAACTTTGTATGCATTTAATAACGATGAACAATCTTGCAACTGGGTAATGGAAATGTTTCTCCAAATACAAGCACTGCTAGCAGAGTCTTCTAATAAGGAAAAACTCGATAAAGCCTTGTATTTGTTGGACATATTCATCTTAAGTGTTGACGTGCTGTCTGGCTGTGCAGTATTGTTAGGTAATTTGGATGTGGTAGCTACTCAAAATGCTGAACGTTATCATATATTTCCCGAAAGTCTTCAACTTTTATGTGATCATATTTTCTGGAAGGATCAAGAAGCCAAGGTAATTAATTATCTTTAGGTTTAGTCTACGTCATGCTATGATTAATTTTCTTTATTGTAGATTTATGAATTTTTATACAATTTATTTAAAAACAACGCCATACCCGACATTTATTCTAAAACCTTTAAAGACGCCATTATATGTTCGCGAAATAAGTCGTACTTTGAAACTAAAGGTATTTGGACCAAATATGTGGGCTTGCGGAAATAATGGCAGAACCTGGTTAAATGTGTTTTCCTATTTATTCATTTCTTTTAAAGGCACGAACGAAACGCCATTATCCGTTAACTTTTTTATTTAGAATTTTTCTATGTATTTAAACAAGAGCTTTTACATTTTATATTCAAGTTGAAGAAGTTTTTGTTAAACTAAAATATGAAATATAGAAAAAGAAAATGAAACTGCCTTTCTGTTTAATTTTAAGTACCTGAAAATAACTTTTGTAGTCGTATCTTTGAGAGATTTCATCGTTCGATTTGACTGAGTGCACAAGACTATGTATTGGCTCTTGTCCTTCTTTTTTAACAGCTCAGCCGGAGTTGTCTATATTACTTATAAAAAATATTTATTTATTTGTATACGTCACTAGCAAACATCAATTTACTTCAATTATAAAAACATTCTATCATTTATTTCAACGAATTTTACTTTATTCTTCACTTCAAAATACCGTTACTAAAATATTTTGCCTTAATAAAACCGAAACAAAATGTTAACAACATCAAAAAATAATGATGTTTAACTTCTCTGCTTGTTGGCAATACTCATCAATTCAATGAAAAAATAATTCCTGCCTTTTTATTTGCATTCTGACTGAATTGTTGGTACATTTTAAGTTTATATAAAAATATTTGTACTTAAGTGTACGTTACAAAATTTTATTCCATTTTTTGTTGTTGTATATATATGTTTAATTTATTTTTATTATAATATGTAAACACAAAATAAATTACTTGAAATTTTCTCCCCATTAAAATAAGCTGCTCTTGACCGTCGTATCACTGATTAGAAAAACTCGGCAATCCTTGCGTTGCAATTAAAAAAAAAATCTCGTCTGTGAAAAGAAGAACTTAGTAAACATGTATGAAAATATTTAATTAATTAAAAAACAATTTTAAAAACAAACTCAATACGAAGTAAAGTTATTGCATATATTTTAGAAAGTGACGTGAAAGAAATTTAATTATCTTGTGCTATTAATAAAGTATAAAATTCACTCAGCTGAGTCCATGGTTTTCAAAACATAACAAAAACACAGTAAATAAATAAAAACAATAATAATAATAATAACTCATTAGAAATGGATGATATTAAATTGGCTAAGGTAAAGAAAATTATACATCAATTTTTATATTTTTCACTTTTCTTTAATCGCAAGGTGTATGTTCTTTTAAATGAGACAGACTGCGTCTGCAGAAGGACAATGCGTATTTTCAATGCGTAACATTAAATGAAAAGAAGGAAGGCGTCTAAATATCACTCCTTTTGTCAGTTTGTTGTGTAAAGATTTCATAAGGGGAAAATTTGGTCGCTTTCATTGAAACCGGTTGCCAGTTTGTCGCCCAAATTGTCACGGTCATAGAAATAAAAAGGAGGTCAAATATTCATGCACTTCTTAAGAAGGTTCATACTGGAACTTCTCAAAGGTGTGCTGGATTTTTCTCAAATTTAAGATTACGTTTTTAATTTTTTGTAAATGAAATAAACCAAACATCGTAGGAAACTAAAAAAATGTTCCATTATACTTGTAAACATATTTTAATATACCAACTGCAATCTTTAGGCTGCGATAATTTAAAAATTTTAATTTATTCTAAAGCCGCGCGTGTTTAAAAATTCTCCGGTTATCTACAGGTGCATAAATATTGATTTAGCTAAAAGATTTGTTCGCGCCTGTATGCATATGTGCTTACCAAAACGATTTTATGTAATACTTTGGAATACCAATTTATAATCGGTGTATTAAGTTAATGATATGTTGTTAACGTCAAACAAATAAGAATATGTTCTCATTAACTTGTAAAAATGCCAACCATGTGAGAATAAGCATGAGCGTATACGTTTGTTTACATTTTTCAATAATTTTGCATGTATTTGTATAAATTTGGTGCCTTTAGAGATTAAGCGTATAAATTGTTATCTCTTCTGAGAAGATTTCTTCACCTCACTTTTGATCAGATACCAGCCACCTTCAAAATACGACCATTTCAGATATGCAGGCTCAAGCAAATAATGCTGATCTGGAAAGTATTGATTTAATACCACTCAGTACGGCGGAAAAATTTCGCCCAAATTCGGTAAGGATGTCTTTCATGTCAGTTTACGATTATGAACCAATTTTCACTATGAAATATTAAAAGTTGTGCCTTTTAACCATATAAAGATTCAGTTTTCCTAAGTACTTTTTCAAAAAAATTGCCCCAGCCGAACTCCATATTTTATGCCAAATGAATGTTACTCAGCGATTTTGTCGAGAAATTTTGAAAATTGCAACTTTTTCCATATAAAGGCTTTTCAAAGTAAGTGAACCGATCCAAACGACTGCCAACAGCATTCGTTCTTGGGTCAAAGTACCTGAGTGTACAAGATTTCATCAATATATCTCAGAAATTGCGACTTGCAGTTTAAACATAAAAATATATGGACGAACATCAGGCGGATAGTTGGACAGACGGGCATAAACTTAATTTACATTTCGCCACAAATGTTGTGGGATTTAATAAAAAGTTTGTTCGGAATATTCAGAAATAATCCATACTGCCGTCTACTTTTTTAAAAGTCTGTCTTGGCTGCTCTTCGAATTCGTTGCATTATGAAGGATTAGTCGTCAAAGACTGTGTACATTATACATATTCTTAGTGCTTTTAAAATATTGAGTGAAATCACTAAATATGCAAGATTCAGTTCAATGCAAATGCAGCTTTTTTACATCTTAAGTACTACGTAGATTGGGATTTTTGCTTTGGATTGTCGAATTTTTCTGTTTATTTTGAAGGACTATCCTAGCTTTTTGTAAAAATCCATGTTTGCAAATTATATTTTAGCTTCTTTTAATGTTCCAGGTTAGAATCTTTGTATTCAATGGTGCAGTAGTTTAATCATTCTACAAGACTTACAAATTATCCGGAATTCGCACACTTGCAGAAGCCTTCACCATTTTAGATCAATGTACGCATATACATAAGGGACAAAAGTCGAGTATTTTCTGAAATACTAATTTTAAGCATTGAATGTTTCTCAAGTACGATCTCAAACGAAAATGACGAGTTCTATGGATGGAAGAATAAAATTGTAGAAAAATAGTCCGCTGAGGGGAACTCTTCGAGAAAAATCCTGGATTTTGAGAGCGTATTATATGCGCATGACGCTAGCAATGGGAAATTATCATTAGACTTCTCTCTCGACTTCTCTCTTTTTTTTTACCTTATACTGAGGTAGAAGCAACTAAGCCCAAGTAGAGGCTACCGGGAATCTTTCCGGCTATATGGTCCTGAAATGGTTTCATTCACAATTCAGTAAATTCAGTAAATTTTTATATAAGTACTTAATATTAATTATATCATTACATGCATACATGTTCTTTGAATGAGTTTATTTATTTATTTATGTCTCTTATTGCTTTCCTATAAGCAAAAGAGCGAAACAGTTTATATATGAACTCTTAAAAAGCATTCAAGAAAAAAAAGAAAAACAACAATTTCCCATAAAATTTCCTTCGACAAAATATATTCAATATAAGATACGAAAGGTTTTATTGTACTGGTCAAAACACATCCTTTCAGTTTCAATTTGGAACTGCACGCATAAGTACTGCAACGGAATAAATTTTACAAGTTTTTTTCTCCTTATTAAACACTTAGAATAATCAGTAAAAACAAAAAAAAAAAGAATCTTTAAATACACCTGCCGCTAACGTCATAAGTAATATTCATAACGCTTGAGTTGTTTGCGAAACTATGCTAGAAACAAAGCAACGAAAGGAACTGAAGTGAAAGTGAAAGTTTGTTTGTGTTCTCTCTATCTCTCTCTCCCTCTCTCTCTCTCTCTCTCTATCTCTCTCTTTTTCTGTGTATAATAAAACGAATTCAATATATTTATCTGCTTGTAACCTAAATACATACACAATGTACTTTAATAAATAAGACAAAATTCATGCAGAAGTGTTTGGGAAAAACAAAAACAAAAAAGAGTTCATTTTATGATTCAAGTGACCTCATTTCGTTTTATCTCCCATTCCTTTAAGTTTTAGAAAGGACGTTTTTTCTTCAAATTAAAATCAATATTCGCTATCTTGTTGTACTTATACACTTGCGTGTTATTTAATTATGATCGAGCTGATTTGTTTGTTTATTTAAGAAAAAACGGTATGGATTTGACTCGTTTCATGAATAAGTTCAATGAAATTGAGCGGCAATTGTCGCCTACGTCGGCTTTACGTTTAAGTTTTGACAATATCTCACCGGAAACTGAAGAACCTGAAAGTAAACGGCTTTGGGGTGTACCGGTACCACCGTTTGTCTCTGACAAAGTAGTTACTTGGCTAGAGGAGGAATTCACAGATCCACCGATTTTTTATGGCGATACATTGGTCTTGAAAAAGGTTTGTGATTAATAATGTAAATAAAAAACACACACGCACAAAATTATATATGGGGAGTGATCGGAAAAGTGGTCCGTTAAAATACGTCAGCATACCAAATTTCATCATAATATAGCGACCTGCAGATTGAACCCAAAAAAAAAAAAAAACGAGGGACAGACGGATAGGCACATTTATCAATGTTGCACACATCCGCACAAATATAAGATACGCTCTTACCACAAGTGGACTAATGGACTTTTCACTGTTAAACTTGTGAAGTTTACAATGGCTTAAAAGCATCTAAAGTCTGTTACTATATATGCGCTCATCGCAATTAGTCATTAATATAAAAAAAAAAAGTCACAAGCAGGAATGGAAAGCGTTTCGAGTTTCCTCAGAGGTCAATGATTTGTCGACTTTGTGGCATAACGACTTATGGATCTCATGGATTATCAACTCTTCCAATTTTAGTCAAGAATAGTTGACACTTCTTTAAAATACTGTGGGCGGCAGATTAATCAAATATAATAACATTGCTTATCTATTCTACGAATGATTCGATAAAGAAAAGTATAATTTTGCTCGATGCGGGCTGCGTATTAAGTTAAGTCGCACATAACAGCCTTTCTTGACTTAATACGAAACGTTATATAGTGATCGGGGAAATAGTAAGATTTTTAAAACGTTAGTAATCAAGCCACTTTTAGTCACAATGATTTTTTTGTCTTTGTCGAAGTGCTGGAAGAAACTAGAATATTAGGAAATTACTTTAAAAATCCATATAGAAGTGGGCTGCCTCTTCCAACAGATTATATGATATAATATATCTTTTTATGTTTCAACGTAATTTCAACGCTGTCGAAATATGCAAACCAGTACTCAGTTGCTTATTGGAGCAAGTCTTATAAACCGATCGAGACGTTCTTGATTCTGAATTTGAAGGCGGATCAAATAATGGTTCGGGAAACATTTCAGTAGATATATGAAAGAAATTATGTGCTATTCGAGATGATATCAGTTTCTTATATATATTCGTATTTGGGAGAGAACTAACCTCCTTTCCAAGCTTCTCGGACCTGCTAAAGGCAGTTCTACCAAGTTTTCCTTTCGGAGGTTTCAATCTCAAAGAGAATCGTCAGTCTGGGCTGCAAAGGAACTTGGCATCCACCACTCGTGTGCTAAGGAGCACCTCAAACACATCTCCATATTCAAAGGTTTTATTTAAAAGACGGTAGACCTTTCTCGCCAATCCAATATATTGTACAAACGAATTCATATAAATGAAGTCATAAACTTATTTACCATATATATGATTATATGGTGGCGATGGTGTGGTTTTAAATATGTTTATGACTCCGTCTGTACAGGTCTATTATTTCCACAACGCTTATAACCATAAAATAAATTTAAGATTAGTTCACTCACTCTTTCTTCCTTTATTCTAAATGTTATTTGCACATTCGGGTCATTGGATTCTATATCATTCGAATTTATTATTTTTGTGTGTGATAACAGTCAAATAATAGAACTTTTAAATGAAACGAAGCTTTGATGCCTGCCTACCTTCCTTACAGCGTGGTAAATGTATAACAAGTAAGACGACGGCCGCATCCCCTATATTCGCCAGATTTACATAAAAAAAAAAGATAAGTGAATTACATTACTCTTGCGCGAACATGACCATCCCTTTAAAACATGCAGAAGATCATTCATAGAACATAGAAACTTTTTACCCTTACATCTGTTGCAGTCCAACAGTAAGGAGCAAAAATTTCAAGTTTTTTGCTTTTGAGAATAGATAAAGATATGCTTATCGTAGGCGAGTTTTTTGGGTGATTTAGTCCATTTTCAATATCAACCCACACACTAGAAATTTCAATAGGACTGCCCAATTTACGTATTTTGATTTTGTTGTAAAGGTGGACGTGCCTTGCTCGATTCAGAATTTTGTAATGATCAAGAAAATATAAAGTTTACGTGGCCTCCGAATCTTACTTCCGGATGTTGCAAACGGATGTGATCTCCTCTAGTTGGTCTATTAACGGATCCATGTCTAGGATTAATGGATATCAATGAAAACTTCTCTTTTCTTCTTTTAACTTTTGCTACGTTCTTGTTACACTTAACTTGTGATGTTGTATCAAGTACACATGTATACAATATAAAGCCTCAACTTAGGGAAAAGGACTGTAATTTATAAGGCTTTGAAGTGTGCTTCCGTTTGTCACAAATGTACGGAATTGCATTCATTCATTGTAAGGTGACCCTTAACCTTTTATAAATTGTTGTGATGTACAAAAGACGTAATTATATTATAAAAAATTACTAATTAAGAACCAAAAGCCGGTTTTATTCCACTAATCATATAGCAAGCCTTCTCCATGTATGAAAAAATACAAAGGTTTTGCTAAATAAGTTTGATAACCGTTTAAAAGTTTGAATGAGCAACATAACACTCACTAATCGGGCAGATAACCACCTAAGCTGCTACCCCTCTCTATCTATATCTCCTTGTCCATTACTTTCTGAATCAATAAAGGAGAAAAGGTCGCCGAATTTTCTTAAAAGATAAATAAATTAGACTAGAGCTGATTATGACTAATTGCTTAGGCCTAGATGGTTCTTATCGACCGGACACTCATCACGACTGACCTTGACATGTTCAACTTGCTGCTACAGCTTCGTCACATATCAAGATTTTCTTGTTTTGGATTCCGGGAGACTTCGTGTATATTTATAAAATAAAATGCTAGATAAAGCCGAAAATGGCCCGTCATTAGTTTTTGATGAGCTAGACTCGAACTGCTAGCAGAGTGCCATGCGTATAAACCAAAATACCCTAAGTAGACGGTCTATTTTCGTTTTAGACTTAGTCTTGAGTATCGCCTACTTGTACCGACTGAATTTGTTGCACTTTTTTTGGTATGCTGTGCCGGCCATGCATGATTAAAATGAAATGTATGAAGAAAGTTTTATTTTTCATTTAAATGCAAGTTACGCACCTATTTAAGACGAATGTGTCCGGGTTTAACTCTTTATCAAGAATAAATGCACAATTGCATTGACAAAGTCCAAACATGAGTGCTCTCATTTCACTCAGGGTTAATTTTTTATTTAAAAAGTTAGAGTTGTGAAAAAGTAGGATATTGCTTACCCCTAATCGAAAGCATTTAAATAGGCAAAGGCGTCCCTAATCTCGAGTGATGTGAAGGGAATAACATGGTTAGCAGCAATTTCTGAAAGTCTAAGTTCACATATAGGCTAACAAAATAAGGGACTTGATTCTGTGCAAAGCAATTGTTATCTACTCTAGGTGGGAATCTCCAACGAGCAAGTAAAAGCGAGACCGTGATAGACGTCACTGCAAACTAATACATCAAAATTTGAAAAGCTCGATTAATGGTCAATTTCAAGTTGTGGGAACTTCGAATGAACCATTGTGGTCTTTTTTACGTTGAAATTCCCGGTAGCCAAGTTTTAGTTTAATATCTTCTACAAATTCTGAGTCGCAGGACTTAATTACTGTACACGCATCAAGCGCTTAGTTGCTTTTAAATGGTGTGAGGAAATATTTGTCGCACGGTTGAACTGTAAGTTATTGTCTCCCTCTTTGACGGGTATAAAAAGTTTTTCCCAGTCTATGGCCGTGATTCTGACCGCAAATATGGCCATAGTCTGAGAAAATTTCTTTCTAGGATGATACAAACGTTTTAACAAATTGAACAATGAATACTCTATTATATTGGGTGGACGTGGTCGACCTTGTCATTGTTTGTGCAGATCTATAGAATATACGAGAATATTTTTATAGTTTTATTTGCTATAGTTTGTGAGTAAAGAACCTTTAAAAATAGAAATGCTGTCAGTTTAAGCGGTACTGAAGGATTGTCCTTATACCAGCCTGCGTGCAAGTCTTTAACAAATTTGTGACCTTTATGTTCGTTTTTGCGTCGAGGAAGACACTTGTCACAGGCGAAATGAATGGACTGGTAGGTAGGAAGGACGGCGGACGAGTATGTAATGGTTCAATATTTGCCGCTGATCAAAAAAATTCATCGAATTTATGAAGTCACGGAAACTTGCTACTAGCTATTGCCAACGATTTGACAAAATACGTATGTCCCTATCTCCCATGTCCGGTGACGGGTGGAAAAAGGAAAAATATTACTATATGCCTGTATTTGGTTGAATATGTAGATATGCATTATTTACATCAAAGTAAACTTTCTGGTTTCAGTTAACTTTTAGTTTTAATTAAACTTTTTTTGAAGGACTTCATGCAAACTATGAAGGCAATCGATTTCTGTCAAAATATTCATAAGTTTTCGCATTGATGGTATTATATAAGCAATTAAATATGAATGAAATTTTATAATTTGTTTTTTTTTTTTCTTTTCAATTGTCACGCTTGCAGGTTGAAAATGTACGAATGATTGATCGCTACAATACAAAAAATCCTATTCTTGGCACTTTATATTTAACAGCAACACATTTAATATTTGTTGAGCCGGATACAAATAAAGAGACATGGGTAAGCTGGAAATTTGTTTCTTATTTACATACACTTTCAACCATTCAATTACAAAGGTTGTCACAAATCTTTTGAAATTTAAATTTCTAGAAAATAACGATAGCACAATAGATTTTTTCAAAAACAGGAAACACAAAATTGGAAAAGCAATGCTTTAATATTTACTGATTTATGCTGCTAATTGTGTGAGTAATTTTTAGAGAGGAAGAAAGATCGAAAAGGATTTTTTATAGCATACTTTTGTTGATATTCCCATAAAGTTGCCGAGTATCTCGAAGAGAGGCATGGCAGTCACTGTACATGCTTTAGAGTTAATTTCGCAAATTTCTTTCCACTTGATGGTCAAAACAATAATTAACGAAAGTTCTCATATTGCAAGTTATAGTCAATAATAATAGGAAATTATTTAAAATATATTGAGCTCGCAAGGTAATTCAATATTTAGTTTCCCCATGACTTTTGCAAAGATTCACTTGAAACGAGGCATCTAGTTTTTTAGAAAGCAATTTCGATACCAATAGCATTGATTCTTCTGCAAATTACTCGCAGAATATTATTTCGATGGATGTCATCACTTCAGATTATGATACATTGCAAAGCCCGAGTACAGTTTGTTGGCATTTCATCACGTATAACAAATTTCCTTCCTTCGACATACAAGGGTCTGTTGTAAACAACTGATTATACATTTGCTATTCAAAATGTGGTCCATTTCGGGCTACTATTTCCTGCAATCTTTCGGGGAGCGTACTAGTTCCGCGTCGAAAAAATGCAGCTATCCCCAAAAGAACTAGAAAAATCACTCGTCTCCTGTCCCTACAACTATAGCTAATCACAGTGCCAAACTTCAAACGAGACGTGTCAAAATTTCATGACATTCCGACAAGCAGTTAACATGTTACAGTTCTTTCTAACGACACTACACAGTGTTGCCATATACGTGTCAAGCCAGCAACTTAGTGAATGATATGCCATATATTTAGGTGTCATTGTAAGAATGCAAGCTAAGTCTGAACAAACAAGAAGTCATCTTTCATCAGAAAACCCATAGGAAAAACGTTGTAGAAAATGATGGAAAATACATTTATTTTGAATCAGTAAATGCCTTTCTCAAGCATAGAAATGATCAGAATACATGCAAGCATCTAATATACCTTCTTCTTGCTGTTCTGCGAGTGAACATATCAGCAACAGATGACTTGCTGAGTAGCGTACTTTCAAAGCAAAGCAAGACAGTACTCTACTCCCTTAAGCAAGGATGGAATCGCATAAATGGCTGGAAAAGGCATCTAAAATACCATTTATTGTAAAATTTTCCAAATAATCTTAATCGTAAAGGATTCATTAGCCAGCGTAAGCTAAAATGCGTGAATCTTTTAATTTTACGTTGCGAAGGGCCTATTGTAAAGTGCTCAAGACGATTGCAAAACATTATTATTCTATTATTTGTTCAATCAAAGAAAGTTAGTTACGTTGCATTGTAATTACAAATTTATAAGATGGATTGCGTTTGCAATGGCAAATAAGAAAGCACTTAAACCTTAGTTATTCTAAGTTATCTACCTACACTACCTACACTACTTTCCACCTATACTACCTATCTACCTATTTCCACCTATACTATATGAATTATTACGTTTATTGCTTATTCAATGCCATAAATACGAAACATTCATTAGAAATTCAATATTAATTTCAAAATCAGACAATACTCAGAATGCACTACTAAACGATTACCCATTTAAATCATTTTAACTAAGTTCCAATCGGGAGTTCCATATAGGAAAGTGTAACAAAAAGAAAAGTGAGCCGTAGCAACAGCTCCTTATTGCTGGGAATTTTTTACTTTTACAAATGACGACGCGCCGTCTTCTTACAAAGGTCACTTACAATAGTCATTAAAATATCGACACGCAACACGAAGTGAATGATTCACCTTATAGTTGATACGAGTTTTTGGTGCGATAGCTTTATATATATGATATGAATACTTATCTCTTTCAATAAAAAGGGCGACTAAGGATTTGCTGATATTAAATTTATAATAACAAAGACGACCAACCAAGTACATCTACTCGCTAAGGTTAGAAGATCTGTAAGTTTAAGGCAAGACTCGTTCCAAAGCATATTTTCAAAAATGCTTTTCGTGCAGCCTCACTTTGAGCCACATAGCACCGTTAGCACCTTCAATACGGAGCACACACTAGCATGGAATTCGCCAATACACGTCTAACAATTGCGGTAAACAGCCTTTAACTAATATAAGGGTCGTTAATCCCCACAAGCAATCATTAATAAAGATCCCAGCAGAGCTTTTGCTTTGTCAACATAAACTTGAGCCTGCAAATTAAAATTCAATGTAGGATCGAGTATCACCTCCAACTGGGGAAAGTTTGAAGCACAGTCCAGCTTAAGGATACAAATATAACAGTTAATAGCAATCGCGACCAAAACACTTTAGAAAGTAGAAATTATTTTCCGATCGACCTGTTACCTAAAAAAAGCAAATCGCTCGATTGGTCGGATCTAAGGAAAAACAGACAAAGCTATCTAGCTAGCTAATGTGTGAACTTACTTTAGCACGTTTCGAATAAGTTATTGTCTACTAATCAAGCAACAAGAGAAATATTGATGAAATTACGTATAAATCGATAAAGTTTACCGCGAGAAAATTAATCCTCGTAAATAATGTACTTAATGCAGTTCAGAAATTTATTGACTACTTGTGAACAAGAAATTCTTCTATATATTGCATAAATTATTACCCGCGTAATCGTTCGCAGCGTTACGTGTAGCGTAAGTTTGTCATTTTTAAATAAAGTAAAATTTAATGACTCATCTTTCGCACTATAAAGTATTTAAAAGCGCCAATTAAAAGCAAACGACAGCATTAGTTATACCACAACTACTTGAATAGTACACTATATGCATACTTACAAAGGCTGCATGCATGCTCTCAACATTGGTTTTATTTACTAGTTTCCTTCACAACTTATTATTCTATGGTCTCTTTTAAGTTCATGCACACATAAGAATGATACCATAAAATTTCTATTAAATTTAACAAATACAGAATCAACCATCTACGCGAAAGTATATACATGTATATAAATGATTATTTATATTGGATATATATATATGTGTGTGTATATATGGGCATTATATATATACATGCATCTCGTATAAAATAAAAAGAGAAATTACGTAAAATTCTTGCGGAATCTTTCGATAAACACCCACACACAACACTTATATTGTTTCATTCTATTTGATTTCTACGGAATGTGTAGACCCACTTGGTACTTGAATTCAAATAATATTTAAACAACTGAGAAAGCTGGAAGCCCTTACATTGCAAGCATAATAAAATAATCCAGTTTTGCTATCTGGGGCCCATAAATACTAGAGTATTTTGAAATTTAAAACAAACCATGTCTGTCCGACTGTCCGTCTTGTTTTCTTGTGTTCAAACTACAGCCAATAAATTTCGAGATATTTTGATGAAATTTGCTTTCCACCTCCGTATAACCTCTCATTTTGAAAAGTCGTTATATGAATACCAGTAGGATGATGCAGGGTATTTAATGGTGGTCTATGGCCCACAACAAGGTTTTTACTTATTACTTCTTAATATTTAGTTAATAGTATTATATTATTATCTTTCATTCCGTCAAGGTCAGCTTGCCATCTTTCATGTAAAATTTTAAGCACTTCCTTATAGGAATCTACGGTTCGTGATGCAAAATGCAACTTAAGTTGTCTCTTTGCTAAGCTAAATTTAGGGGTTGATGACGGCGTTTCATTTGCAGGAAGCCATTGTTTGAAACGCTCTATGTTATCCCCTCCATTCCACTTTAATCCAATTTTCATCTCTGGCAAAACGGTTCTGCTATACTTAACTTTGGATCAGTTTCCACAAAAAAATTTAGTAGGCCTTCGAGGCTTGTCAGAGACCTTGCGAGCTAATGCTAATACTTATTGACCTTCAGCATAAGTCCATAGCAGCATCGCAAATGTTCTTGCATTAAACCCCCTATGTAAACGAAGAAGAAATGTGACGAACACGATACGCGGAATGGACAGGTTTGTGAAACAAAATTACACTTTTTAGAATATTTTCTACACAGGTTCATTCACCGAAAACTGGAAAAGAATACGTGCTTTCTCTTCAAAGACCCGTACAGTGTTAAAGGCCAAATAAATTCTTTGCAAATATTTGATTAAAGGGTATCCGCAATCCATTGGCAACTCTATTAATATTTAAATAAGCAAAAGTCTTCTATTATCATAACTGAAAAATATAACCAAATTGTCACGACTTTCTTCTGCGAGGTTATGCCAATTATTTCAAATCATTTCCCCTTCGCAACTGCAGTCGTAGTATTTTTGCTACATCACTCAGGTGATGGCCCGCCTTTGTGTAAATCGTTGACGATTAGAGAGGAGTGAAGAAAAAGGAAGAGATAGGGAGGTAATGATGATGATTTTGCCATGGTAGTTAGTATCCCATCATCACATGAACGCCAGACGGAGTTGGAAGAATGTCAGTGCGAAATTTTAGTTACAGAAGAAATTGTATAACATCAACGTGAAATCGTTGATGAAGTTGATAACGTTTTAAAGCTGTCGTCGACCACAACACGCTTACTATTAAACCATCCAAATGGGAATTTTTCCAAAAGAAAAGCTTTTGGAAAAATATTTTAATGGCAATACGGAGGAATTTTTCAAATGTGCTCATGTAATAAATCCACTCAACAAATCCTCCAATACTAATCGGCCAAAGAATTGCGAGAATCCCCCTCCTGGAGCACGGGAAATTTGTTTCTTCCATCTGTCCTCAGATTCAATGACCGGGTTAGAGTGCAGCCATCGATTTTGCTTAACCTATTGGCGTGAATATTTAACAACGAAAATTGTTACTGAAGGACTGGCTCAGTCGATATCGTGTGCCGCTCACGGATGTGATATTTTGGTGGATAATGTTACTGGTACAAAAT